TCCTCCATCCAGTGCCCAGACCAAGAGGATGAAAGGTCCTCTGAGAGCCTCCTCGTTCTCCATGTGGGTCACTTCCTGCTGAGAGTCAGTGCTTGGGACCCAGGGCATGGTGGCCGGAATCAAGATCTGAGATAAAGTGACGCAGGATGACAATAGGGATTCAGAGGCAGAGCAGGTGGAAATAAGACCAGAACCTGGCCAAGTGATGAGGACCAGGGCCCAATGACCATGATTAGGGCCCAATGACTGATCAGGGCCCAATGACCATGATCAGGGCTCAGTGACTGATCAGGGCCCAGTGACTGATCAAGGCTGAGTGACCATGATCAGGGCCCAATGACTGATCAGGGCCCAGTGACCATGATCAGGGCCCAGTGACTGATCAGGGCCCAGGGACCAGAATCAGGGCCCAGTGACTGATCAGAGTTCAGTGACTGATCAGGGCCCAGTGACCAGGACTAGGGCCCAGTGGCTGATCTGGGCCCAGTGACTGAACAGGGCACAGCAACAAGCACTAGGGCTCAGTGATCAGGACCAAGGCTCAGTGACAAGGACCAGGGCCCAGTGATCAAGACCAGGACTCAGTGACCAGGACCAAGGCCCAGTGACTGTCAGGGCTCAGTGATCAGGATCAGGGCCCAGTGACTGATCAGGGCCCATTGACAAGGACCAGGGCTCAGTGACCAAGACCAAGGCTCAGTGACAAGAACCAGGGTCCAGTGATCAGGAGCAGGACTCAGTGATAAGGACCAGGGCCCAGTGACCTATCAGGTCCCAGTGACTGATCAGGGCCCAGTGACTGATGAGGGCCCAGTGACCATGATCAGGGCCCAGTGACCATGATCAGGGCCCAGTGACTGATCAGAGCCCAGTGACTGATCAGGGCCCAGTGATCATGATCAGGGCCCAGTGACCAGGACCAGGGCCCAGTGACTGATCAGGGCCCAGTGACTGATCAGGGCCCAGTGACCATGATCAGGGCCCAGTGACAGATCAGGGCCCAGTGACCAGGACCAGGGCCCAATGACCATGATCAGGGCCCAGTGACTGATGAGGGCCCAGTGACCATGATCAGGGCCCAGTGACCATGATCAGGGCCCAGTGACTGATCAGGGCCCAGTGACTGATCTGGGCCCAGTGACCATGATCAGGGCCCAGTGACTGATCAGGTCTCAGTGACTGATCTGGGCCCAATGACTGATCAGGGCCCAGTGATCAGGACCAGGGCCCAGTGACTGATCAGGGTCCAGTGACCAGGACCAGGGCCCAGTGACTGAACAGGACACAGTGACAAGCACTAGGGCTCAGTGATCAGGACCAAGGCTCAGTGACAAGGACCAGGGTCCAGTGATCAGGAGAAGGACTCAGTGACCAGGACCATGGCCCAGTGACTGATCAGGGTTCAGTGACCATGATCAGGGCCCAGTGACTGACCAGGGCCCAGTGACCATGATCAGGGCCCAGTGATTGATCAGGGCCCAGTGACTGATCAGGTCTCAGTGACTGATCTGGGTCCAATGACTGATCAAGGCCCAGTGACCATGATCAGGGCTCAGTGACTGATCAGGTCTCAGTGACTGATCTGGGCCCAATGACCTACCAGGGCCCAGTGCCCATGATCACCCAGTGACTGACCAGGGCCCAGTGACCATGATCAGGGCCCAGTGATCAGGCCCAGAGCTCAGTGCTCAGGCCTAGCGCTCATGGCTCAGGCCCAGGGCACAGTGATTAGGACCAGTGAGCCGGGCCCACTTCCTGTGATGATCTTGGTTATACTCCCCTTGGTGAGACCTGTTTTTGCTCACACCTGTGCCGTATGCAGGACCTGTTCGGGTGGCCTTGGCAGGGGGCCCTGTCTCTATGTTCACTGTGAACCTGCCTTGGGGCATGAGGTTGGTTCCCTTCTCCCCGAAGCCTCCCTGGCCCCTTCCCCCTCCCCTCATTCAGAGACAGAGAACCACTGTGTTTGTCACAAGTTTATTGTACGAGGAAGGCTCGTGTGGGGCTGGGTGGATGCTTCCTTCCCGGGCTTGGCTCTGGTGTCCGCTTGGGCTCTGGGAGGCTCTTCCATGCTCCTTCCTGCAAACACAGGAGGGTCAGGCCCTGGGGTCGCTCCTGAGGGGGCAGGGTCCTTGCCAATGCCCCACCCTCAGCCCTGGGCTGGCTCAGGGCAGACTGGATTGAACCCTGCAGCAAATGCACCAGGTGGGAAGCAGATTCCCTGACCCTGTCTGGGGGACATCTGTGCTCCGGGCTCTGGTCTGCGCACGTCTTCGATGTCTGTGAGGAACGACTCCCTCAGATTCCAGCCCACCTGTGGCGTATGCTTCCCTGCTAGCCAGGTGCCCCATGCCCCATTAGCCCACCACGCTGTCTCCTCACCCCCACCTGTGCCTGGCTGGCTCCTGCTCAGAACGAGGGGCCCTCCCTGCTGCTGGGTGGGCCCCGGACGCTTGTCACGGTCAGTGCTGTGCTGTAGAAGAGGCTGAGCAGGAAGAGGGTGAGCAGGGTGACCGTGGTGGGCCACAGGCTGGCTCCTGGGGCGTCCTCCTCCAGGTCCTCCTGTGGCAGGTCTATCATCACCCAGGGAAGCAGCTCCTGGCAACCTGCAAGACACTGAGCGCCTGCGAAGCATGCGCCTGTGTGGGTGTGGGCCGAGCCACCACCCTCCCCTCCCAGCACCCCTGGGGTCGGGGCCAGCAGTGTGGTTCCTTATCTCACAGGTGAGGCTGCCTTAGAGAGGATGAGTGGCAGGTCCCTAGGGAAGGGGCTGGGGCCATTGTGGCTCTGGAGATGCCCACAGGGCCTCTGTCTGGGAGGGTCTTGGGCCGCCTTAGGGAGAGAGAGCTGGCAGGGCAGGAGGGTGGGCACTGTCTTTGCTGCTCCAAGGAGAGCTCGAGCCCAACCCCTATCTGTGTCCTCACAACGCTCCTGCTCTTGGGCTGAGCCGGCATGGGCCCTGAAGGGGCCGGAGAGGATGGACGAGGCCACTTCTTAGCTGCCCCACTTTGAGACGTGGATCTGGAGCTGTGGTTCATATTCTGAGGGCTGGATGGACGTGACCAGGACCCTCTGTCACCCTCCCAGGGAATGTAGTGATGAGCTACAAGGACCATGAAGGAGGGCCCAGTGAAGGCCAGGTAGCCCTGCTGGCTTCAGGATCCTAGGGCACAGACTGCCATGCTAAATGAAATTTGGACCTGCTTGTCACATGCTGATACATCCAATTATTCATCCATTCGGCCATCCATCCATCCATCCACCCACTCAACCACCTATCATCCATCCATCCACCCATCCATCCATTTACTCTCCCACTGATCACCCATCCACTCATCCATCCATCCTCCATCCATCTTCCATCCATCCATCATCCATCTATTCTCCATCCATCCTCCATCCACCATTCATCATCCATCCATCCTCCATCCATCATCCATCCATCCATCATCCATCATCCACCTATTCTCCATCCATCCTCCATCCACCATTCATCATCCATCCATCCTCCATCCATTATCCATCCATCCATCCATCCATCCATCATCCTTCATCCATCCTCCATTCATCCTCCATCCATCCTCCATCCACCATCCATTTATCTGCCATCCATCATCCATCCATCCTTCATCCATCCATCCATCCATCCATCCATCCATCCATCCATCCATCATCTATCTATCTATCCATCCGTCCTCCATCAATCTGTCCATCCTTTCATCCATCGTATGTCCTATGGTCCATCCACCTATCTGCCCTCTGTCCATCTGCTGGTCCAGCCCCTCATCTATTTATTTCTCCTCCTTTCCTGGTTTCCTTAGGAAGCTCCTCCTTAGGCAGGTCCTGGGTCCCTCGTGGCTGGGGCACCTTCACTATGGCAGTATTTCCCCAGTCAATACCTTGCTCTCCCTACTGCCCTTGGGTGATGTGACACTTGAGAGGGGAGCAGTGGGCAGGGTTGTTACTCTCACCCCACCTTGGCCCTGGGAACAGAGGTAGCCCGAAGGCCAGGTCCCCTGGGGAGGCCCAGAAGGTGTCTAAGACAAGAGCAGGGCCTCGCTGCCCCCTTTTGGGGCCATAGGGCCCAGTGTTCCAGGTGGTCATGGGACTGCCCTTTCCATTCTGTTCCCCCCACACTCCCCTTGCCAGAGACCCCACACAGAAGCTGAGGGGGTTCCTGGTGGGAGCTATCTCTCTGCCCGCCCCACACCTGCTCCTGCCCTGTGGTTTGGGCCAGGAGGGACCTGGGACAATGGGCTGGGCCTGGGGAAAACCCACTGGGGGCTTGGATGGGGACTCCCCTTGCCTTCCCGAAGCCGGACCTACGCCATGAACTTCCTGCACCTGCAAGGCTCAGTGTGTGTGTGTGTGTGTTTCTCTGTGTGTGTGCTCACCCATGTGAGTGTGAGCACAGGGAGTTTGTGTGTGCACCCACGTGAGTGTGAGCACATAGGGAACATGTGTGCACACCTGTGTGCATCCCTGTGTGTGGTCCCCTTTCTTTGTGAGTCAGTGGGCTGGCCTGCATCTCTGTGTGGTGCCTATCGGGGGTGAGGGACCCTGGAATCCAGCCCTCCTTCCATGCCATTCCTCTCACGCCCTGGCCCCAGCAGGTGGCGCAGACCCTGCCCTGGCTGCCCTGCTCCCTTCCGCCGCTTTCCCTCCCGCTAAGCCTTAAGGCAGCTTCTGAGACAAGCGGGACCATCTGTGGTGTCCATGCCCTCAGGGCCCACTGAGCCGTGTCTGCCTCCCACGGCTCTGCCAGCCTCAGGCTTCACTCCAGCTTGGCCTCAATCACTGTGCACCACGCACTCACACTCACACTCACGTGCTCACATCCAGGCGCTCACACTCACGCTCACACACACACACACACACACACACACAAGCGCATGGGTGTGAGGGCACCTCGAGGTGCCCCGCCGAGAGGATCAAGTCAGGCGCTGGAGGGATGGTGGCTGCTTTGGGCGAGCACGGAGTTTATTCAAGGGTGGGGCGGGTGGGCGGGTGGCTCAGTAGCAGATGCCGTCCACCTCTGACAAGACCACAGACACGTTGACGTGGGTGGGTTTACCCGCCAGGCGGTTGATGGTCTTCTGTGTGAAGCTCAGGGGCAGGGCCTCGTGGCCCACCATGCAGGAGTAGCTGTCCCCGTTCTTCCACGCCTCGGTGTCCACGCGCAGCACGCTGGTCGTGGCGAACGTGGCGCTGCCCTGGCTGGCCTCGGGCAGGGGACTCCACGTCTGGTACTTCTCTCGGGGCAGCTCCTGGTTTTCGTGCAGCCACCGGACTAGCACGTTGCCGGGGTAGAAGCCCCGTACCACGCACGTCAGCGTCACCAGCTCGTTGAGGACCAGCTCCTCTGCGGGCGGCGGCAGCAGGTGGACCTGGGGTGGGAAGGTGTTCCCTGGGGGACAGAGGAGCCAGTCAGGGGTGTGGGCAGGGAGGAGAGAGCCCCTCTGCCCACTGGGTGCCCTGTGCCCAGTTTCCCTCTGTAGAATGTGAGTGGGGCGCCAGGGGTTGGGGCAGGCAGGCTTAGGCGTGCGCCTGGCCCACCATGGGATGCTGGGGCGCCCCTGGGGTGGGGCCCGGCCCACCTGAGGCTCTGGCGATGGTGGCGGAGAGCGGGCTCTTGGCCTCAGGGTGGGTGGCGGTGCAGGTGAACCTCTGCCCGCGGTTCCAGGGCTCGGCACAGCCTGGCAGGACACTGGACACGCTGTAGCAGCCACAGGCATCACTCTGCGGGGCCTCCTGGATGGCATCCTTCCCACCCGTGGGGTTCCAGGTGAAGCTGGCACCCTGGGGCTTTCTCAGGCCACTCAGCGTGCACGTGAGGTTGGCACTGGAGCCCAGGAGCAGGTCCTCGATGGCTGGCGGGCTCAGGGTCAGGCGGGGCTGGCAGTTCAAGCATGTGGGTGTCTTAACTGAGAGGGAGACAGAGCCCTCAGTGCCCCTGGGCCCACATCCCCTTCCGTCCTCCTGCTCCAGCCCCGCCCTCACCCTCTCCCAGCTCTGCGGGGGCTCCACCTGAGCCCACTGCTGTCTGAGGGGAGCCCTGGTGGGTGTGGTGGTGCCTCCACTCCGCCCTGGCCCGACCTCTGACCTTTGCAGGGCACGTCCTTGGTCTGGCTGGCGCTGGTGTGGTGCTGCACGTGGCACCTCTGGGTCGCGCCCTCTGGGCACTGGTCGGCTGGCAGGGTCAGCTGGCTGACCATGGTGTACAGGCCCCGGGAGGTGGGTGCGGGGAGAAAGTTCCGGATGGAGGTGCCCGGCCCGCTGCTGCCCCAGGTCACGTTCATGGGCGCCGATGGGAAGAAGTCCTGGACCAGGCAGCCGATGACCACGTGACCAGCTGAGTCGGTGCTCCTGAGGCTCAGTGGGAAGAGTGTGGGGCTGCTGGGGCTCACTGCAACACAGGACACGCTGTGAGACCCCGGACAGCCCCACGCAGATGAGACGATGCCCACCGCCCCTCTGCCCTGGGCAAACAGGCACAGAGAGGGCGAGTGACTGCCCGAAGGTCACTCAGCCCGAAGGCCAGGCATCGGGGTTGGGACTCGCTGCTGAGTCCAGCCACATTGTTTCTGGACACGCTGCTCCGGGCTCCGGCACGTGGACCGGGAAACGCTCTTTACACAGGCCACGTGCGAATGGAGCCACGTCATCCACATGGCTCTCCGTGGACCAGCTGAGTCAGTGGGCACCACTGGGGCCTCAGCTCCCTCTGTGCAGTGGGCATGGCCATGTCTCTCCCAGAGTTTTGGGGTCATGAAAGGTGAGCCCAGAGGGGGACACAGGTGAGCACCGAGGGGCCTGGTCCTACAGCTGACCTGCCCCGTGGGCCAGCCTTGCTGTGCTGGAGGGCACACGCAGAGGAGAGGGGCCTGGGCTTCCGTGGGCCACTGAGACTTCCCTGGTCAGAGTCCAGTCTAACCAGCCCCCTCTGCAAACCACCACAACCCCCAGCAAGCAGAGGCCCACCGCAGCCCCCAGCAAGCAGAGGCCCACCGCAGGGCGTACGAAGCTCTGGCGATTAGGGACTCAACCAAACCAGCTCTGTGAGGTGTCCCACCCAGACAGGCTGGGTACACAGGACACCACTGGTCTGTTTCTGATTCTCTCAGGGACATGGTGGGAGAAGAGAGGGCACAGGTACCTCTGATTGCATGGCCCTCATGTGCCCTTGGAAACACAGGGGGCAGCCCGGGTAGGGAACTGGCTCTGGAGGTGATCCATACAGAACCCACGTCTTCCCATTTGACAACTGGTAGCCGGCTCATCTCAGTCCCTCTCAGCCCCGCTCAGCCCAGTTCACTCAGCCCAGCTCAGCCCAATCCAGCCCAGCTCAGCCCCGCTCAGCCCAGTTCACTCAGCCCAGCTCAGCCCAATCCAGCCCAGCTCAGCCCAGCTCAGCCCAGTTCACTCAGCCCAGCTCAGCCCAATCCAGCCCAGCTCAGCCCAGCTCAGCCCAGCTCAGCCCAGTTCACTCAGCCCAGCTCAGCCCAGCTCAGCTCAGACCAGCTCAGCTTAGCCCAGTTCACTCAGCTCAGCTCAGTTCAGCTCAGCCCAGCTTAGCCCAGTTCACTCAGCCCAGCTCAGCCCAATCCAGCCCAGCTCAGCCCAGCTCAGACCAATCCATCCCAGCTCAGCCCAGCTCAGCTCAGCCCAGCTCAGCTCAGCTCAGCCCAGCCCAGCTCAGCCCAGTTCACTCAGCTCAACCCAGCTCAGCCCAGCTCAGCTCAGCTCAGCTCAGCCCAGCTCAGCCCAGCTCAGCCCAGCCCAGCCCAGCTCAGCCCAGTTCACTCAGCTCAGCCCAGCTCAACTCAGCTCAGCTCAGCCCAGCCCAGCTCAGCCCAGTTCACTCAGCTCAGCCCAGCCCAGCCCAGCTCAGCCCAGTTCACTCAGCTCAGCCCAGCCCAGCTCAGCCCAGCTCAGCCCAGCTCAGCCCAGCTTAGGCCAGCCCAGCCCAGCCCAGCTCAGCCCAGTTCACTCAGCTCAGCCCAGCCCAGCTCAGCCCAGTTCACTCAGCTCAGCCCAGCCCAGCTCAGCCCAGCTCAGCTCAGCCCAGCTCAGCCCAATCCATCCCAGCTCAGCCCAGCTCAGCCCAGCTCAGCTCAGCCCAGCTCAGCCCAATCCATCCCAGCTCAGCCCAGCTCAGCCCAGCTCAGCTCAGCCCAGTTCAGCCCAGCTCAGCCCAGCTCAGCTCAGCCCAGTTCAGCCCAGCTCAGCCCAGCTCAGCCCAGCTCAACCCAGTTCACTCAGCTCAGCCCAGCTCAGTTCAGCTCAGCCCAGTTTACTCAGCCCAGCCCAGTTCAGCCCAGCTCAGCCCAGCTCAGCTCAGTTCACTTAGCCCAGCCCAGTTCAGCCCAGCTCAGCCCAGTTCACTCAGCTCAGCCCAGCTCAGTTCAGCTCAGCCCAGTTTACTCAGCCCAGCCCAGTTCAGCCCAGCCCAGCTCAGCCCAGCTCAGCTCAGCTCAGCCCAGCCCAGCCCAGCTCAGCCCAGTTCACTCAGCTCAGCCCAGCTCAGCTCAGCCCAGCTCAGCCCAGCTCAGCTCAGCCCAGCTCAGCCCAATCCAGCCCAGCTCAGCCCAGCTCAGCCCAGTTCAGTCCAATCCAGCCCAGCTCAGCCCAGCTCAGCCCAGTTCAGCCCAATCCAGCCCAGTTCAGCCCAGCTCAGCCCAGCTCAGCCAAGTTCACTCAGCCCAGCTCAGCCAAGTTCACTCAGCCCAGCTCAGCCCAGCTCAGCCCAGCTCAGCTCAGCCCAGTTCAGCCCAGCTCAGCCCAGCTCAGCCCAGCTCAGGCCAGTTCACTCAGCTCAGCCCAGCTCAGCCCAGCTCAGCCCAGTTCACTCAGCTCAGCTCAGCTCACCCAGCTCAGCCCAGTTCAGCTCAGCTCAGCTCAGTCCAACTCAGTCCAACTCAGCCCAATCCAGCCCAGCTCAGCCCAGCCCAGCCCAGCCCAGCCCAGCTCAGCCCAGCTCAGCTCAATCCAGCCCAGCTCAGCCCAGCTCAGCTCAATCCAGCCCAGCTCAGCCCAGTTTAGCCCAACCCAGCCCAGCCCAGTTCACTCAGCCCAGCCCAGCCCAGCTCAGCTCAGCTCAGCCCAACTCAGCCCAGTTCAGCTCAGCCCAGCCCAGCTCAGCCCAGCTCAGTCCAGCCCAGTTCGGCTCAGCCCAGCTCAGCCTAGTTCAGCTCAGTCCAGCCCAGCTCAGCCCAGCTCAGTCCAGCCCAGTTCAGCCCAGCTCAGCCCAGTTCAGCTCAGTCCAGCTCAGCCCAGTTCAGCTCAGCCCAGCTCAGCTCAGCCCAGTTCAGCCCAGTTCAGCTCAGCCCAGTTCAGCTCAGCCCAGCCTAGCCGAGCCCAGCCCAGTTCACTCAGCCCACCCCAGTCCAGCCCAGGCCACAGTATCCCAGCTCATCCCTGTCCGGGTAGAGCATCCTGCCCTGGGTCCTCTTGGCTCTCAGTCCTGTTTGCTTTTTCTCTCTCCTCTGTCTTGGTGTCTGCTTTCCGCATCCCTGGTCCCAGGACGGCTCAGAGTGCCTGATGAGGAGGAGATGGGGCAGCATCCAGGACCCACCTGCTCGAGGCTGCTGGAGGGTCTGAGGCTGAGAGGCCAGGCCCCTGGCCAGCTGCCCTGCCCGAGGCTGTGTGGTGCAGAGACCCCTGCCCCTGCTGGCTCTCGCTCGCTCTGGGAAGGCTGATACTGAGGGGCAGTCTGGGGAGGGGCTTCAGACCGTGTCATCACCCTAGATGGGGTCACTCGCCACTTCCTGTCCCACCAGTCTCGGCTGCCCGTCTGCACGTCATGTCTGGTCTGTGGTCTGGCTGTGGCAAGGCCAGGTGTGTGTGGCCTGGGCTGTGACCCTCAGGAGCCTGGGCCTGGCGGTGGGTCCTGGCTCAGGTGGCTGCTCATGGGGCTGGGCCGGGGGCCGAGCTGCAGGGACGCAGAGGCTGAGGCAGTGCAGTGGGAGCCGAGGGACAGGCTGAGGTGGCCCCAGGCTGTGAGGGCCATGGGGCAGGGGTCCCGGGCACAGGGCTGACCCCCAGTGAGCAGGCCACAGGGTGGGCAAGAAGACTGTGAACATCTAGGGCCCAGCCTGAAGCCAGGGTGGGCATGAGGCCACCCCTGCAGGTTGGGGCAGCACGTGCTGCCTGGGCCCGCATCTGCCCATTTTCCCGTCCAGGGCTTTCCCACAGGCCCCAGGGGCCCCACCGGTGACCCCCACTCCCAGAAGGTGGCCCGGCCTGGACACACAAGGGCAGCTGGGCTTGGCTGGCGCCTGTGTTTACCTGTCAGTCATTACTTCACATGCAGAAGGTGCTGACTGTCCCCTCCAGGTCAGTGACACTGGCCCCAGGGAGGTCAGGTCCTCACAGGGATCAGGGGCCCAGGGCAGGCGGAGCCGGAGGCAGAGGGTGGACTGAGGCGGAGAGCCTGGGGCACCTCAGAGCCTCTGGGTATTCCTAGGACCCCAGGACTCCGGGGCGCCAGGCCGCCTGGGTTTTGTCCCAAAGCCGCCTGCACAGCCTCCGGCACCAGCGCTGTCTGCGTGGGGATGAGTGTCCAGCAGCTCCGCCTTCTTTCTTTGGTTGTTGATCCTCCCCCCAGGATATTTTTCCGTTGATTTTTAGGGAGAGTGGAAGAGAGAGGACAGACAGAGAGAAATACATCGATTGGTTGCCTCCTGCATGAGCCCCGACCAGGGAGAAGCCTGCAACTGAGGTACGTGCCCTTGACTGGAATCGAACCCAGGACCCTTTGGCCCACAGGCTGACACTCTATCCACTGAGCAAAATCAGCGAGACCCGGCTCGGCCTTCCTGCCTGCCCGGGAACCCCCAGGCCATGGGGTCCAAAGCCCGGCCCCAGGGATCAGGGGTACCAGCAAGGGATGCGTGATGGGGCCTCATGCCTGGCACAGTGCCTGGCATGGGCGAAACCAAGGAGGGCAGTGGGAGCAATGGGGGGACTCGGCCGGCTCACACAGGGATGGCACGGCCCCCCAGATGGGGGAGCAGACGGGCTTGTGACTTGGGGCAGAAGAGGAGGCGTCCACTGGGGCCTGAGACACCACCTTGACTAGTGATAACTGGTGGCGGCGGCAGCTGGCAGAGGCCCGAGTGGGAGTGTCGGGCTGCTCGAGGGGCCCGCTGGGAGGGGAGAGCGGGGACGGGTCCTCCTTGGGCTTCTTCTTTGGAAGGAGGGGGGCCTCTGTGTGTCCAAGCCTTGCCGGCTTGTGGGGCGTCCATGACAAAGGACCACGGGCTAAGTGGCTTCAAACAGAAATTCATTCTCAGTCTGGAGGCCAGGGCAGCGCGCTCTCCGGAGGCCCCACTCCCAGCCTCCGGGCTCCACGTGTCCCTCGGCTGGTGGACACAGTGCCCAGTCTCCTCTGTGTCTGCATCTCCTCTTCTCTCTCGTGACGATGCTTGTCAGCCAGCGGACTGGGGGCCACGGGAGGCTCTCATCTTAAGACCCTCAGCTTTAGTCACGTCTGCAAGGACCCTTTTTCCAGATGAGGCTCCAGGCACAGGTTCCAGGGGGATGTGGACCCAGTTTTGGGGTCACCCTTCAGGCCACTGTGGGGGTTAATAGGGGGAGGGGGTGGAGAGGGGGGCCTGGGAGGCAGCCTCTTGCTGCTGGGAGGCGGGTGGCAGGTCCCATGGCCCGGGGGTGGTCCTGTCCCCTCCCTGCCCTGCCATGCTCAGGCCCCAGGGGTTGGCCCCCAGGTGGGGTGGCCTGCAGGTGGGATGACCCGTACTCCTCCCCCCTGGGCTTGGCAGAGATGCAGTTCAATGTGTGAATCGAGCCCTTGTCCTTGCTCTGGGGACTGTGGGGTGTCTCATGATCTGGGGTGCAAGTCAGAGAGCAAGGACGCTGAGCTGGGCTGGGGGCTCCCAGGGCAGGAGACCAGGAGGAGGGCAGGAGGGCACCAGGCTCTGCTGGACAGGCCTGTGTAGGGGGCGGGGAGACCTTGCTCCCTGCGGCTGTGTGTGCATCTGTGTGTGAGAGTGTGTGTCCCCAAGTGTGTGACAGCGTGTGTCCCTGAGTGTGTCAGTGAGTGTGTGTCCCCGAGTGTGTGTCTGTGTGAGTGCACAGCAGTGCGGGCCGCAGCCTGAAGGCCCCTGCCCTCAGTGCCCTGTGCCCCGGTGCCCTATTTGGCGTGCCCCCAGCGTCTCTGGACAGGCCCAGAGTTCCCCGGTCATGGCCTCTCTACTCCAATGGGGTTGGGTGCCCAGGTCTGAGCCTGGCAGGCTGCGCGCTGGTGTTTCTATCCTCGTCCACATCGGCTGTGTGATGTGGGCCCCTCCCCCCCCTCCCCCACATGGAGCCAGGCTCTCTGAAGGGACATTGGGGGGCTGGAGTCTCCTGTCCAGGGGGCCTGGGCATTTGGATACTGGCAACACGGCCCCTGGGCCTGCAGAGTGGCCTTAACACTGTCCACACCACAGACGGGGTGAGACCCTGAGCAGACTCCCCCACCTCACCCCCACCCCCACCCCCACCCCCACCCCCACCCGGGTTCCTCCTATGGCACCTTTTCTAGTTACTGAACATGCTCTTCCTGTTTTTGGCCACTTGGTTTTTTCTTGCTGTGAGGGACCCACTGCTCACTGTCCTCTTATTGGCTCCCGAGCGCTCTTTGTATGTGAGAGAACCCTGCTCTTCATCATGTGTGTTCACGCATTCTCCTCCCATTTCCAGCGGCTGCACAGAGGCCCTCAGGGGCGGGTCCCCCAACCAGGGCAGCTGCCTCTTTACCTGGGGAAGCAGGGCCTGGTGCCCCCACGGCCCTTGGCCCTCCGGCCGTCTCTTGGGCTCACCTGGTTCCTTTTCCAGCAGGATGGCGGCCAGCCCCACCCAGCCCACCCAGCCACCCAGCCTGGCCCGGGGAGGACGGGGGCCAAGGACGGCCTGTGTGTGTGTGCTCAGCGGGTGGGTGGCTGGAGCGGTGACTGGGGGAGGCTGATCCTGGCCCCGCCTGGGGATTGGAAGCTGTGTCCCCGTGGCCGGCACTGACCACCGGAGTCGGGGTGCTGGCTTCGTGTCAGTGTGGGAAGGGGCAACGAGTCTGGGCCGCAGACCAGCAAGCGGGTATGATGGGGGCCAGGTGAGGTGTTTCTGGGGGCGTCGAAGGGCCCCTTGCAGCCCCAGAAGTGCCCTGTGCCCCTCGTCTGACCACCCCCATGGGACCACAGGCACCACCTCCAAAGCACACCCAGGGGACCTGGAATTTGTAAAAAAAGAACTTTACTAAGAAACCCAAAGGGTAGGAAACCGAACTGCCAAGCCAGAGTGGGAGGTGGGACGAGGCTGTGGTGGGTGGGGTTGGGGCTGCTGGATGGTGTGGCTGCTGTGTGGACGCCGTGGGACCCCTTCTCTGCCTGTGGGACCCCTTTTCCCACCAGTGAGGCCCTGCCCACAGCCCCACACAGTCTCGGAGCCTCTCCCAGAAGGGCTTCTCTGCCTCCACATCCGGCAGGGACAGGGGTAGGGTGGCGGCAGGAGGGTGAGCAGAGGGCCCAGGGCCCCAGGGGCAGAGCCCTCAGACTGGGAGGAAGGCCAGGGAGTGAGACCTGGGGCTGGACGTGGCTCTGGGTCCTCAGCTTGGCTCCGGACTCTGGGCGGTGGGCCAGGCCATGGCTCCAGGCCTCACTGTGGTCCAGGAGTTGTCCAGTAAGAATCGGAGCAGCCCTGACCTCGAGGGCTGGGGTCAAGCAGCCCTGGCCACTCTGGGGGCGGGCAGATGGGGTGGGACTGGGGCTGTGATTGGTGGCCCCCTGGGTGCCAGGGCCTTGGGCCTGAGCTGGAACCTTCCGGATGTCTGTGAGCTGTGGTTGGGTCCTGGTCCCTGGCCCCTTTGGAGGTGCATCAGCTCCCGTCAGCCTGGGGCAGAGCGGCCTCAAGGACGCTCAGGCCGGGGGAGGAAGGCAGCGAGGCCGGGGCTGCTGCTCCGCACCCAGGCCGCCGGCCGTGCGATGTCCTCGATGTTCTCGTAGTCGTGGGTGGCCTGGGGCGGCCCCGGCAGGACAGCACCCAGGACCCACTTCACCTGCAAGGAGGGCGCCTGTGAGGGCCTCCGCCCGACTCAGTCTAGTTTTTTTGTTTTTTTGTTAATCCTCAGCCGAGGATTTTTCCCATTGATTGTTAGGGAGAGTAGAAGGGAAGGGGAGAGACAGAGAGAAACATTGATGTGAGTCACATCGATTGGCTGTCTTCCGCATGCACCTCCACCAGGGCCGGGGAACTTGCAAACAAGGTATGTGCCCTTGACCGGAATCGAACCCGGGACCCTTTGGTCCACAGGCCGGCGTTCTACCCACTAAGAAACACTGGCCAGGGCTCTCTGTCCATCTTGCGGAGTCTCCCACCCCCTCCCCGCTCGGCCCTGGAAGGGGGGCAGGGTCCCACCTTGAAGAGGGTGACGGAGGCGCCATAGCTCACACTAAGCAGGAAGAGCGCGATGAAGACGAAGAGGCTGCTCCACAGTCCGTCCAGCTCCTCACCCTCGGCCGCCCCCACACACAGGTCCTGCAGGTCCAGCTCTGCGGGTGCAGGTCAGTGAGCCCCCAGCCTGGGTGTGGGGGTCAGTGAGCCCCCAGCCTGGGTGTGGGGGTCAGTGAGCCCCCAGCCTGGGTGTGGGGGTCAGTGAGCCCCCAGCCTGGGTGTGGGGGGTCAGTGAGCCCCCAGCCTGGGTGTGGGGGTCAGTGAGCCCCCAGCCTGGGTGTGGGGGTCAGTCAGCCCCCAGCCTGGGTGTGGGGGGTCAGTCAGCCCTCCAGCCTAGTGTGGGGGGTCAGTCAGCCCCAGCCTGGGTGTGGGGTCAGTCAGCCCCAGCCTGGTGTGGGGGGTCAGTCATCCCCCAGCCTGGGTGTGGGGAGTCAGTAAGCCTCCAGCCTGGGTGTGGGGGGTCAGTCAGCCCCACCTCAGTGTGGGGGGTCAGTCAGCCCCCAGCCTCAGTGTGGGCAGCACAGGGCCCTGCAGCCTGGTCCCTGATGCCTGGGGCTCAGGCAGTCCCTGTCCAGCCCCGTGGCCTCTTCCCGGAGCAGCCGGCCCAGCAGGAGGGCTGGGGTCTGAGACTGCCTGGCCTGGCCCAGGGTGGCTGCTGGGAGGGCTGCAGCCCGCTGCCTGCTGCCCCCACTCCAGTGGCGCCTTTTCTCTCCCTCCATCCCTCAGGCTGCCATCCGGACCCTGGTCTCCCCAGCCAGGCCTGTGGCCCTCACCGCAGCTCCTGCTCTGCCCAGCCCCTACCCGGGAGGACGGCGCCCACCCCGCCCCGTGCTCGCTCAGCTTCTCGCTTGCGGCCCGGAGACCCCTCTAAACTGTGCACAGCGGCTGCCCTGAGCCCTCAGGGGGACCTGAGCCCCTCAGCCTGGGCCATCGCTCCAAGGGGCCTGGCCATGCGGGGCCCGAGCTGCCCCTGGCCCTGTGCTGGTCCCGTCGCTGTCCCTTGGCCTCCTGCTTCGAGGACTGAGGCGTGCCTGCGTACAGGAGCCAGGCTCATGGGCAGTGCACCAGCCGGTCCCTCTGGGCGGTGCCCTCAGGGTGTGGGCTGGCATTCCCATGAGAAATGCTCCCGAATGCTGGGGTGTGTGTGTGCGCGCGCGCGTGTGTGCACATGTGTGTGTGTGCACATGTGTGTGTGTGCATGCATGTGCGCGTGTGTGCACAGGATGGATTGGGGGTCTACGCTGTTGGATGTGCACACGAGCTTGGAGTGGGGGAGGGCTTGGTCCCTGACTCTGATCCCTGCAGCCTCCAGGCCCCAGACACAGGGCCAGCAGCCTGCTCTGCGGTGTGTGTGTGTCCATGTGTGTCAGTGCAACCATGTGTGTGTCCACATGTGTCTCTCCCTGTGTTAGTATGTCAGTGTGTGTCTTTGCATTGTGTCTATGTGTATCTGTGTGTGTAGCTGTCTGTTTCTGTGTGTGTTGTGTGTGTGTGTGTCCATGTATATATGTCTCTGTGTCTGTGCCCTGTTCATCAGTGTGTGTGTCTGTTCCATGTATGTGTCTGTCCTCTGTGGACGCAGCTGGCAGGGAGGGTTTGGGGGGAGGCCTGCTGGGCTCCCAACCAGAGAGGGGGGGGTTTTCTCCATGCCCGTGTTGGGTCCTGTGGCCCAGGCATGATGGGGAGCAAGGGTTCGGGGTGGCCTGGGTAAGAGATAGATCAAGGGAGGCTGCCTAGGTGGGCATGGGCAATGTGTTTGCCCACATGGGGCACCGAGGTTGGTGGTGGGTTGTGCTGTTGGGTCACTGCAGAGTGTGTGGGGGCAGGGCCAGCATGGCAGGCATGACTGCGTGTGAGGCCCATGGGGGCATGCTTGCGAGCTTGTGAGGGCCGGCCTTTCCCGGGACAGCCTGGGTGGAGTGAGGTGAGGGTCAGGGTGGGGTGGGCTCAGGGTTGGGACCTGTCCCTGCCCATGTTTCTGGGGACGCCAGCTGTGGGGCTGACGGGGGCTGTCTGGCTCCCTGCTTGAGGGCGTCTGTGTGGGCATCGCACTCAGCCCGTCTCTCCACCCAGAAGGGTCTGCGTGTGCAGCTGCACCTGGGGGAGCTTGTCTGTGTCCAGAGGGGCCAGCAGGAGCCTGGGGTGGAGACCAAGGCCTCCAGGGCCTCCGGAGAGGCAGGGGCTGTGGGCTGAGCTGGGGTCCCCATGGTCCTCCCCTGGCCTGCCCTCTGGTTCCCAGGGCTCCTTGGAGTGGGCAGGATGCATGGGGGCTTGGCAGGAGGATGGTGGACAGAGCCCCGCTCAGCCCCGTCCAACCCTCCTGTCCCCTCTCGGAAGTCCTTTCCTCTTTGCCAGACACCCCAGCCTCCCAGTCCTACCCCCAAGAACTGGTGCACCAGGCTCTGAGCAGGCACTGAGTTTATTGACAACAGGGGCAGGGCCGGCAGGCCCTCCCCCGTCCCAGTGAGAGCCCTGGACGGGAGGAGGCAGGCGCTAGTTACCAGGGTCTCTGGACACTGATCGCTCGAGGGTCCGGGAGCTGGGCAGAGCCTCATGGGTCACTCGGCAGGTGAACCTGCTCCTCTTCTCCCAGTCGGCCCGGCGGACCTCCAGGCGGCTGAAGACGAAGAAGGCGGGGCTGGCGCCCGGGTCCCTGAGGGGCTGCGTGGTGGCGTACTGGTGGCTGGGGACCAGGGCGCCGTCCCGCAGCCACTGCACCGAGATGTCCGCGGGGAAGAAGTTCTGGACCAGGCAGGTGAGGGTGACCTGGGCCCCCTGCTCCTTCTCAGGCGGCGGGAACACGAAGACCTCGGGGGCAGCGCGCTTGCCTGTGGACGGGCGTGGGGTCAGCCGGCTCCGGCTCCAGGGGCGCCCGCCCGCCTCCCCTCGGCCCGGCCGCTCACCGGGGGCCTTGGCGATGGTGCGCACGATGGCGTGGGGCAGGTCCGGGTGGGTCAGCCTGCACTTGTAGGTCTCGCCCTCGATCCAGTCGCCGGCGTCCACGGGCAGGGTGGACGTGATGGAGTAAGTCATGTTGAAGTGGCGCTTGCTGCTGTGGGTGGCCCCGGTCAGGGGGGCCCCGCTCTCCCGGGACCACTGCAGGCTCACTCCCTCCAGGCTGGCCAGGTCCACCGCCAGGCAGGCCACCTTGGGCGACTTGTGGACGTGCAGGTCCAGGGGGCTGGGCGGGATCAGGTAGACGCTCACTCCGCGGGGCTCGGACTCTGGAGGGTGCGGAGGGGCTGCGTGAGGCTGCGTCCGGCCCCTGCCGGCCCCGAGAGGCGGGTGTGGGTGCGGGGAGGGCTGTACCTGGGCAGGTGCGGGCTTGGGCCTTAACGGTGCAGCCGTGCAGGCTGACCTGGCAGGTGTAGGTTCTCTGGGACACCCACTCCCCCTGGCTGATGTTGAGCCGGCTGGAGGTGGAGGCCAGCGCGCCCTCCTGCCGAGGGGGGTCGGTGGTCGGGAACAGGTTCTCGCCCCTCTGATTGTCCACCAGCCAGGTGACCTCCAGGTCGCCCGGGGTGAAGTCGGTGATGAGGCACAGCAGCTGGATGGTGGCGTGGGTGTCGCCGCTGGGGTCGCAGGACGAGTGGTAGAGCCTCACCGTGGGCTGGGTGACGTTCGTGGCGCACGCTGGGGACAGAGGTGGCGGGCCCCACGGAGGCCTCTCTGAGCCTCTGAGCCCCCCTCCGCCGCCCGCCTGCCCGGCCTGCTCCTCGCCCGCTGGCCTGGGCCTACCTTTGGGCTTGCTGACGATTGTGGACCCGGCGTGCCTCACGCTGCAGGTGAACGTCTGTTCGGCCCATTGGCTAGAGGCGGTCATGTGGCTGATGGTGGTGTAGAGGCCGGAGTTCAAGGTGAAGACGGCGGGGAGGGTCACGACGCTTGTATTCAGGGACCCCGTGTCCCAGGTCACGGTCACGGTCACAGGCTCCGGGATGTAGTCCTTGACCAGGCAACCCAACGTCACAGAGGCGGCCCCCCCGGCGGTGCCTCTGGAGCAGGGGGCCAAGGGGAAGACGTCTGGGTGCCGCATGGAGACTGCAGGATGGAACGGGGTCCCGTCAGTGCTGGCGCCTTGGCCTTGGGCAGCCTCTCCCAGGGCCCCGGGAGTCTGGGAGGGAGCCTGGGCCCTCCTTCCAGCCTGGGGCACGGAGCAGCCCTGGCTCGTTTGGGGCTCATCCCTGGTTCCTCCCAGACCCTGTGACAAAGCCTGTGCTGCCCGAAGCTGCTGCTGTCCCCGCCTCTGGTCGGACCCTTGGGCCTTGAGTAGCAGTACACACCACCCGCCCATGGGGGAGCTCTCCGCTCCTCAAGCAGCAGAGGCTCAGTGCCATCGCCCCCCCACTATGGAGCAGGGACCCCGAGACCCCAGGGATCAGCAAGATGTCTCCTCTACCCCACCCTCAGGCCCCCCCTTAGGCCTGGGGTCCAGAGGCCCCCAACCCATAGGAATCATGAGTGTGGCCCATCCCACCCCCACCTCCTGCTCACTGGGCTGGACGCTCTGCAGCTGAGGGTCCCCCTTCACCCCACCTCTCTGACCAGCCAGGCTTCCCTGCTGACCGCCCGAGGGAGCTCACTTCAGGCCCACCACCAGCAGTGACCCTGCCTGCCGTCCCCTGGCCTGGGAACCCCAGACCTCAGCCCATCGAACCCGGGCCTATCTCTGTGCAGCCAATCCAGCTCAGCCCCAGTCCAGCTCAGCTCCAGAGAGCCCACCTGGGTCCATCTTGGCCCAAATCAACCCAGGATAGACATTTCAAGCCATGAAACTAATCTTATCTCTGTCTACAAAGTCAAACCTAATGCATTCTACCTCATCCATCTCCACCGGCCAGCCGAGGACAACCTTTCTCACGGATGGGGTACATTTAGCACAACTGAGCCAAGTCAGGAGGATCTCAGAAAACAGCACTACTCTGTAGGACCAGGCAGAGCCCAGCCCAGGCCAGCTCAGCTCAGCTCAGCCCAGCCCAGCTCAGCTCAGCCCAGCTCAGCCCAGCCCAGCCCAGCTCAGCTCACCAGCCCAGCTCAGCCCAGCCCAGCCCAGCTCAGCTCACCAGCCCAGACCAGCCCAGCCCAGCCCAGCTCAGCCCAGCTCAGCCCAGCTCAGCCCAGCCCAGCTCAGCCCAGCTCAGCCCAGATCAGCCCAGCTCAGCCCAGCCCAGCTCAGCCCAGCTCAGCCCAGATCAGCCCAGCCCAGCTCAGCCCAGCTCAGCCCAGATCAGCCCAGCCCAGCTCAGCCCAGCTCAGCCCAGCTCAGCCCAGCTCAGCCCAGCCCAGCTCAGCCCAGCTCAGCCCAGCCCAGCTCAGCCCAGCTCAGCCCAGATCAGCCCAGCCCAGCTCAGCCCAGCTCAGCCCAGATCAGCCCAGCCCAGCTCAGCCCAGCTCAGCCCAGCTCAGCCCAGCTCAGCCCAGCCCAGCTCAGCCCAGCCCAGCGCAGCCCAGCTCAGCCCAGATCAGCCCAGCCCAGCTCAGCCCAGCTCAGCCCAGCTCAGCCCAGCTCAGCCCAGCCCAGTTCAGCCCAGCTCAGCCCAGATCAGCCCAGCTCAGCCCAGCCCAGCTCAGCCCAGCCCAGCCCAGCTCAGCCCAGCTCAGCCCAGCTCAGCCCAGCCCAGCCCAGCCCAGCTCAGCCCAGATCAGCCCAGCTCAGCCCAGCTCAGCTCAGCTCAGCTCAGCCCATCTCAGATCAGCCCATATCAGCCCAGCTCAGCCCAGCTCAGCTCAGCCCAGCTCAGCCCAGCTCAGCTAAGCCCAGCTCAGCCCAGCTTAGCTCAGCCCAGTTCAGCCCAGCTCAGCCCAGCTCAGCTAAGCCCAGCTCAGCCCAGCTTAGCTCAGCCCAGTTCAGCCCAGCTCAGCCCAGCTCAGCTAAGCCCAGCTCAGCCCAGCTTAGCTCAGCCCAGTTCAGCCCAGATCAGCTCAGCTCAGCTCAGCCCAGCTCAGCTCAGCCCAGCTCAGCCCATCTCAGATCAGCCCATATCAGCCCAGCTCAGCCCAGCTCAGCCCAGCCCAGCTCAGCCCAGCTCAGCTCAGCTCAGCCCAGCTCAGCTCAGCCCAGCTCAGCCCATCTCAGATCAGCCCATATCAGCCCAGCTCAGCCCATCTCAGATCAGCCCATATCAGCCCAGCTCAGCCCAGCTCAGCTCAGCTCAGCCCAGCTCAGCTCAGCCCAGCTCAGCCCATCTCAGATCAGCCCATATCAGCCCAGCTCAGCCCAGCTCAGCCCAGCCCAGCTCAGCCCAGCTCAGCTCAGCCCAGCTCAGCCCAGCTCAGCTCAGCTCAGCTCAGCTCAGCCCAGCTCAGCTCAGCTCAGCCCAGCTCAGCTCAGCCCAGATCAGCCCAGCCCAGCTCAGCCCAGCTCAGCTCAGCCCAGCTCAACCCAGTTCAGCTCAGCTCAGCCCAGATCAGCCCAGCTTAGCTCAGCCCAGCTCAGCCCAGCTCTGCTCAGCCCAGTTCAGCTCAGCTCAGCTCAGCTCAGCCCAGCTCAACCCAGTTCAGCTCAGCCCAGCTCAGCTCAGCCCAGCTCAGTTCAGCCCAGCTCAGCCCAGCTCAGCTCAGCCCAGCTCAGTTCAGCCCAGCTCAGCCCAGTTCACTCAGCCCATCCCATCCCATGAGGGTGGTGGGCCCAGCTCAGCCCAGTTCAGCTTGGCTCAGCTAAAGCTCAAGCTCAGCAGGGAGCAGCCCAGTCCAGCCCAGCTTAGTCCAGCCCAGCTCAACCCAGCATGGCCAAGCACAGCCCAGATTGACCAACCTGGCCCAGCTGAGCCGAGGATACCCCATCTCCCTTTAAACAACTCTGTCCACTTCAGCCACCTTTGGCCCAGCCCACCCCAGCGCAGACCCCTTATTCAGCCCAGCCCAGGCCGGAGGCTGTGCCCCAGGCAGGCCTGCTGTGTCCCCTGGCCCTGGGCTGGGGGCTGTCCTCCTGGCTGATCTCCGCGCAGCCCACTGCCCGTACCCTCTGCATGTTCCCTGCCCTGGGCCTGGGCCCTGCCCAGCCTGTTCCACGGAGGCTCTTGGCTTCCTGTCTCCTCCAGGTTGGCTCTGGTCTTGGTCCTGCTTCCCTGTGTCACCATTCAGGGGAGGGACAGCTGAGCAGTAAGCAGTGACCAGGAGGCCAGGGCCAGGCTGGGTGGGCATCCAGGTGTCCTCTTCTGCGCAGTAGCCTGGGCGGCCTGTCCCTCACTGCTGCCCGGACCAGCCCCAGAGCAGAGGTACCTGGAATGCTGGGGCCTTGGTCAGGTGCCTGGCTGGCGAGGTGA